ATCTTTGACAAAGGAGCTGACCATCCTCAGTGGAGGAAAGATAGCCTCTTTAATAAATGGTGTGGGAAAAACTGGATGTCAACCTGCCACAGATTAAAATTAGACCCTTATCTTTTGCCATGCACTAAATTAAAATCCAAATGGATTAAAGAACTAAATATTAAAACAGAAACATTAAACTTGCTGGAAGGTAAGTTAGGCAGAACTCTGGAAGACATTGGTATAGGAAAAGACTTTATGAACAAATCCTCAGTAGCACGGGAACTAGCAGATAGAATCAACAACTGGAATCTCATCTTACTAAAAAGCTTCTGTACTTCAAAAGAAACCATCAGCAGAACTAAGAGACAATCTACAATGTGGGAAAAAACTTTTACCAGCTGTTCCTCAGACAAAGGACTATTATCAAGGATATATAAAGAACTCAAAACAATCAGTCCCTCCAAATATAAAGACCCGATTCAAAAATGGGCATCTGAAATGAACAGACATTTCTCAGAGAAAGAAGTAAAAGCAGCAAGTAAATATTTGAAAAAATGTTCCACATCACTTGTCATTCGAGAGATGCAGATGAAAACAACACTGAGATTCCACCTCACCCCACAAAGAATGGCTACTATCACGAAATCACACAGTAACAAATGTTGGCAGGGTTGTGGGGAGAAAGGAACCCTTCTCCATTGTTGGTGGGAGTGCAGACTGGTGCAATCACTATGGAAATCAATATGGAGATACCTCAAAGAGCTTGGACTGGAGGTTCCATTTTACCCAGCCATCCCTCTGCTGGGTATCTTTCCAAAAGAACTAAAAGAATCATATCACAGAGAAGTATGCTCCCCCATGTTTATAGCAGCACAGTTTGTAATAGCTAAATCTTGGAAACAGCCCATTTGCCCATCCGTTGGAAACTGGATAAAAGAAGATGTGCTTTTTCTATAAAATGGAATATTACTCAGAGAAAATAAAGAATGAGAAAATAGATTCATTCATAGGAAAATGGATACATATTGAAGATATAATCCTAAGTGAAATAAATAAGTCACACATGTGTAAATACCAAATAGTTTCCCTGGTGTGAATAATCTGTAATACATAAAATCCTAATAAGATTACTGATATTTAGAAATGGGAAGAAAGGAGCTAAAGGTGTAGGGAAGGTGGGATGGGTAGGGGAAGAGTAAAAAGGGAAAAGAAAAAAATGTGAGATAATGAAAAGATGAAAATAAAGTGCTTGTAGATGGGGAGGGGAGGAAGGGGTGTAGGGAGGGCAGGGGTAAGTTGAAAAAAATGAGAATCAAGACTTGTCATGTGGAGGTACAAGATCCCAACAATGAATGTAACTGTACTGTATCCCTAAGATGTACCAATAAACTCAAAGCTGAAAAAAAAAATGTGTGTCTTGGTATACATGTGTGCATACATGAGAAAGGGCCCATATAGATAATGGGAGAAGCAGGTATAGTATCTTCACTTCAAATTATGTGCTACGGTAGGGTCCTGTGATTGAAAGTACTTGTCAAAAATTATGCAAGGATATTTCAAATCTCTTAGTAAGTATTGTCAAATTTCCCTTCAGAATATCTAATAAGTTTACAAAGTACAGTGTTCATCTTGTTAGCCTTTACTGAGAAACTTTATGCAGTTTACTTTTTTAATAAATTACTTTTGACATACTGCCTATATGTATATAGATATATAATATGTGTTTCCTGTATGTATCTTTTATTCATAGATTGGTTTGGCAATTTGCATTTTTTCTAAAATTATCTTTTCATAGCTTATAACTATTTCTGTTGATGATCTAGGGGTTTTTATTTTTGTGTAAATGCTTAGGATATTTTCTTTTTCAATAATATTTGTGGCATGTTACTTGTTCTTAACTTTCATATAAAATGTTCGCTATGAGTAAAATTGTTTTAAGGAATCAAACTTATCAATCCAAGTAGTTGTAAAGACACTTGTGATACTTCTCAGTAGACCAAGCTCAAATATGATTGTCAACATTTACATTGCAATTTTGAGAGAACTGTTTTATTAGTCCTGGGACTTGGTTTGTAGGTCTTATTGAACTGCCTCAATTCATTATAGCAAATAGTAATGTCTCTTTAGATGACTTTGAAAGACATTTGGAAACTTAACGCTTTGGGGAATGGACAATTACAATAACTAATTTCTTTTTAGTTATAGTTTGACAAAGCAACTTCAGATTATCATAATATATTCAAAATTTTCCTTCGAATTTTTATCCAGAAATGTGAATTGATTATGTGAAAAACAAAATTGCAAAGTTGGCTGGCATTTGTGTTGAAAATGCCTTGTGATGTTTTATTTGATGTGTAGAGTTTAGATATGGATCAGAGAGGAAAGTTGTTGAACTGATGCTATTAAATGTCAGGCATCCACTGCAATAGATAATATATTTTAGGATTCACTCTGACAAGTTGACTCAGGAGTTAACTTGTCATTACTTGTTCTACACCTCACTAGTTCACAAGAAGACAGCTAAACTTGTCATCAGGGGATTTCTTCTGACTAGAAAGAAAATTTGAAGTCTGAAACTTCATTCACAGTTAGTGACAGTTATACTAGTGTTGTTGGACCATTGCATTTTAAATTTCTTTCACAATCTACCATAGTAATATATAAATAAGTAAATACTTTCCAAGATTTTGTGCCATATTTAGAGCCAAATTATCATGTAAAAACATATTTAAATAAAACCAGAAAAGTGATGTTTTTATTTTTACCTAAACTTCTGTATTTAGCAAGACATAATTTTGACTAAGTGTACATAATTAGGAGGTTAATATTTTTCAGGGAAAATATGAGTTACATCATTTTACTTCATTATGTCCATCAATAGAGTGTGTTTTGGCAACAGATGATGTAAGATAAATGAAAGATTAAACACGTGGTACAAGTATTAGAACAAATGTCAGAATTCTTCAAAAATAAAATCACAAACCCCTAGGCTATGTTTGCTGAGGCGGTGAGTAAATTCAAAACAATAGATAAGGATGTGAGTGCCAGTGATGATAATTACAGGCATAATTGTCAGGAGAAAAAGTACTTCTAGCTAGTTCATATACCACTGGAAAGGAAAGTATACTAAGGTGGTGGTAGCTTTGACTTCTTGAAGGAGCATTGGAAGAAGACTATAAAATAAAGGAAAGAAAGAGTTTTTTAAAAAGGCTAGTGATGACCAGGAATGTAAAAAGATGTACTCTTCTCCCATTCTTCTACAGAAGCCCCAAAGATCATGCAGCTGAGTCTGTTTATTTGGGGGAGAGGTGAAAGAGGGGAATCAAAAGTTGCCCTCTCATTGCCTGAAATCAAGATTGGATAGTTTTAGTTTGAGTATACCTGAAATATGTGCACAATTAATTTGTTTCAAGTGATAGCTTTGTATTGTAAAATATTAGGTATTTACTAAATGTTGGATACTATATGTTGACTAGAGAGACTGAAGTACTTTTTCTAGCTTGGCTGAGCAAAGTTTAGCTAAAATATACAGATTCAACAGATGGTTTAACAGAGGGCAGATCACCCGTTGCTGAGTTAAGATGGGAAACTTGTGACCTACTAGGCATAGAAAAAAATCAAGAACAGAAGGCCTGGGAATGTCACATGGACATTGTGGTCATGCTAGAGTAGCCAAAGTGAGGTAAATATTTATTTCAAAGACAGGAAATGTGATCTTTTTAAAAAGAGTCTCTTGAGTATAGAGGACTGTCAGATACATTTGGAGGGCAAAATACAGGCCAGTTCATAAACACCTTTTACAGTGGTCCATACATGATGTCATTAGTTTTTCAGAAGACCATTTTGATAGTGAGGAGCAGGGACTAGAAAGTAGAGGATTGAGGAAGGAATTTGATTAAGGCTTTTGGTGACTTCAAGGAACAATACAAAGTTCTGAAATGAGATTGAATTGGAAAGAAGAGGAGCCTGTGGATGCCTTGGGGGACTAGAGTCAACAGAATTTTGTGACTGAATTTATGTGGTGATGCCTGGGGGAAGAAATTATGCTGGAGTTAATTAATCTTGAATGTCTGGTGGAGTAAGTGGAGAGTTTTGTGCCAGGAGCAGTTTAGTATGGGAGGGAAATATGTTCAGCAAATTGCATGTTAAGATGAAGGTGTTAAAAAATAAATATGTATTAGAATTGTTCTTTATTGTGTGAAGCTAGGTTCTTCTGTCATCCTTAGCTCAGCGGTGACAAAACTGAGGCACAGACAAGGTGATAACTTGTCCAAAGTTACAAAGCAAGTAAGCAGCAAAGCTAAAACTTCAGTTTGGAAAATCTGACTGCAGTCCCAATACTTTATCTGCTCCTACACACTTATTTTTCTGTTTTGTTTTGTTGGCAGGATCTGAGTTGAGAGGGGCAGTTACAACCTGAAGATAGGGATTTGGAAGTTCTGAGTTTGCGTATGGGGGGATAAAAACATTGGCCTGAGTGACTCACCCCTGGAGAGTCCATGGAGTTCTTGTGGGTTCCGAGATCACGCATTGGTCTTATTATTCAGAAATAGGAAGTGAGCTTGAGACTGAATAAGTGACTGGGAAGATAAGAGAGAAATCCCAAAACAATTGTGCCGTAAAAGTCAAATTAGTTGGCAAGTTTTTAAAGAAATAAATCAATGAAAATAGATAAATCAAGATTCAGCAATGATTCTAAAATCTTTTGTTTAAAAAAAGCCAGAAATATCTTAGAAAGTTACTGGTGATGTCTCCATGATAGTTTTAGTGTATTTATTCAGAAACAGAATAAAAGATTGGAGGAATTGAGGGATGGCATGGTAAGTGGAGAGATCTTCCTCATTCAAGGAGAGCTATGACTGTCAAGGCAAAAGAGTGATGGCGTGGAAGGTAAAGGGAAGGTCTTTCTGCTCTGTGAGGCAGGATCATATTTTGGTAAATTTAAGGATAGTCTGTCTTGAAATGAGAAATTTTTTAAGAGAAAAATTCTAATTTAAAATGCTTTTTAAACCTGACAGAACATTATACATCCATGGGCATAGCAAGTTGGATTTCACAGTCTGGCATACTGCAATTGAAAAAGCAGCAGGTACAGATGGTAATGCACTACAAGATCAGCAGCTCAGCAAAAATGACGTTCCCATTATTGTGAACAGCTGTATAGCATTTGTTACACAGTATGGTATGTATCACACAGTTTTTATTCAACCTTTAGAACTAGTAGAATCATTCTTACGGTTTCCAAGTGGCACCTCCATTGAACTGAATTAATGCACTTTACTTTCATAATTATGCCTGTGAAAAATAAAAGCATGGTCTCTATTCAGCTAATTGTCATTCCTTTCCTAGTAAAACTCATTTAAACTATAGAGTATATTTTTACCATTTCCATCATATGTGTAAAATTTTAAATAACATATTGAAAGAATATATTGTACAATGCACATAAATATAGTAAACACTGTTGTTAGAGGTTCTAAGTCTACAATAAAACCTAGAGTAATTCACCTGCTTAAGCATGGATTTAGAAGTGTAAAGCTATGGAATAATACATAAAAGAATTTGATTTTTTTAAAATTTTATCTTTTGTAGTGGGGATTGAACTGAGGACCTCGCACTTGCAAGGCAGGTGCGGTGCCACTGAGCTAAATTCCCAGCCAAAAATTTGATTTCTTTAGACATACATGCACATTTATTTCATTCAGCATGCTTTGGTCAAATATTATTAACACACGTGGCTATTAATTTTAATAGTTTTGATTTATTTGCATTGGATATTTTTATGAATAAATAGTAAGTAAAAACAATTTAATGTGTGGCGGAGTATTTTATACTGTTTTATTTTCAAATTATGTATTCTTCAAGTTCATTTTTAGTTGCATATATTTTCATGTTCTGAAAATAGATGTTTATATTCTTAAAATATTTTCTATCTCTTAAGCTACAGATAAATGCTATTAGAATACCTATGTGGAAAAGAGTAAAATGATTGATTTAGTATTACCAAAAATGCATGTTTTGTTCTATTGTTAGAGATGTCTTTAGGTGTTTTGATTTGAAAAGAGGGCATACTTACTTAGTGAGAGAGTCACAGCAAAATGTTCCCAGAAACATAGAAGTGGCAGCAAAAAGTTAAAGACAAAGCCATGCAGCTCATGTTCTGACAGTGTGCAGATACATATGAGATGTCAGAAGTAACAAATACTATGACAGAAATCACTTCTGGAATTAAACTTGTACTGTGTGTGTTTTAATCTATTATAAGGAGATTGGTATTTTAAGTGTCTCACTTCAAATATAATCCAAATGTAGAGTTATTATTAATGTCCAGCCTCATTGTGTTTGTACTATAACTTTTGAAAATAAGTTCCCGATCACATATGTGGCCTTACTATGTGGTCCTTGCTATGACAATCAGTTTATATTTTTCCTATCAGCCCTTGTCAAATTTATTTGAAAATGAAGGAATAAAAGCTTATCATCTTCACTTATTACAATTATCCAGTATTAGCAGTTTGTGTTTTACAGGTGTAAATGTATTGCACACATACTATGTTTTAGCAAGAGCATAACTTCATTGGGAATTTTCATGCTAAGTTAGTTTCATAATGGTGTGGGGTCTTTTTAAACTGGCAAATGATTAAAACAATTTGAGTAGCTCCAGTGTATTCTATTTAATATTTCTCTAGGGAAATTGAAGTTTCTTCATGGTATTTATTTGAATTTAAAATCATTAACCATTAGGTTGTTTTCAACTAAATATCTATTATAGCTACTTCATAACTCTAAAAGGTGCATTAACTTGCACATTTAAGTAATAAAGCCAGTATAATTAGAACTTGGGGCACAGCTTCATTATTATTAGAAAAGAATTGATATAAATACAGAAACCATCCATGATTATAGAAAAAAAGTTGGTTGGCTTACAGTTTTTATGATAATTATTTTGAACATCTTGACTACGTTAGCATCCAAAGGCCAATTATTTGTGCTCTTCGTGTCGTAATTTAAACAACCAAGTTTCAGGAATAGTTTGTAGCATTGTAACTTATTAAAAATCAAGGAAAATAGTAACTTCTTTGGGATAAGTTATTTTAATTTATGTGAACAAAGTCATATTCAATGTTTTATTCAGTTAACTAAAACTGAATACTATAATAGAATTTCCCTTAACTGTAACATAGTATTTCAGACACAAAGTCACAGGTTTTTTTGTTTGTTTAATTGTTTTAGCATTACCTTTTTTTTGCATTAATCAATCATTTACCAAACTCCCATTGAGTTCTATTTGTTTTATTTTACTCTTTTGAGACAGTCTAACAGTGTAGTTCAAGGTAGCCTTCAACTCCCTATGTAGCCCAAGCTGGCCTGGACCTCCTCCTGCCTCAGCCTCCCCAGTGCTGAGATTATACACATGAACCACCATGTCCACCCACAGAGAGTACTTGTCGCTGTTGGATATATTCAGAGAATAAGATAATCCTTGTCTTTAGGACTTTATATAGTTATGGAATAGATGCATAAGCAAGTGACTAGACCATAACATCTCCATACATAAAATTATGTGCATAAAAAGGTTCATGGGGCCGGGGATTTAGCTCAGCGGTTCAGAGGCCTGCCTTGCAAGCGCAAGGACCTGAGTTCAATCCCTGGTACCAAAACAAAACAAAACAAACAAAAAAAAAAGGTTCATATTTGCTACAGATATCTTTAAGTGTAAGAGTAAATTTTACCCAGACGGGAGTGGTAAAAGAAGGCTCATGTTTGTCTTTTCAGATGTTTGTTTCGTTAAATATGGCCGGAGATTAGTTTAAGAAGAGGTGCAAACAGTAGGTAGGAGTATAAGCCAACTTCTGAACATTTTTTAGGTATCTCAATAAAATCCACTTTGTCTTATAGGCCATGGGTAGGGCAATGTCTCGATATTTAAGCTTGCTAGTAGTACCAACCAGCCTATATTCTGTATCACTTAGTTGGCATTCTTCAAATAGATTCTCAGGCTGTCCAAGAAGAGGCTCAGGGAGTTGTGAAAACAGTGAACTAGCAAGTGCACAAAATGGTAGCATATGGGATGCAGAGAAGAGGACAGTTTTGAGTGAGATCATGAAGATGTGACTCAGAAAGGTTCTGATTTACAATGTGACAAGAGGACAGGCCATATACTGAGGTCGAGGAACAAGATAAAAATGCTGGGGTTCAGTAGTGAGGCGGCAGAGGAACAAGAAAATTCCTTTGAATTTTTTTCAATTTGCCCATAAGGATATGAATAATACGAATGTATCTGTCTGTGTGTTGGATGAATGTGTAATGATAAATGCATATGCATGGATGTGTGAAATTTTAGAAATTAAAGCCAAGGTCAGAGTGCCTATGTAGCAGTTGGATGATGAGTTTGGATCGATTTACTCTGGGAATTTTCTAGGGGACCAAGAAGAAAAAAGAATTGTGGATGAAATCCAGGACTCACTCCAGTGAAGATGAGATAAGCAGAATAAAGAGAGAAAAGCCACAGAGGAAGGGAGAAAAACAGAGATAAGAGATCATGATATTATGAAAGCTATGGGATTAAAAGAATTTTAACAGGGATTCCTCTAAAGTGTCAGATGCTGTAAGCAGTTCTCATTAGCTAAAAACTGAAAAGCAACTAGAAGAAGGACAGTATTGATAATTCTTGATGACAGTGCTTCCTACAGAGTGGGAATTAAGGAACAGAAGAAAGATTGTATGATAAAAAGATTCACAGGCATGTGGAACAATAGAAAGGATTCAAACAGGAAACTCAGCCTGATTTGGAAAGGAAAACGGGCAAGAAATTTGGGAGTAGCCGATGGAAAAATTTTATATCATCATCATAGCAGGTCATCTTTTCCACTTACTAATCATTGCTACTTTAATCTTGCTTGGGTAGAAGGTTAAGATGAAAGCAGAAAGAAATTAATACACAAATATAAAGGTGAAAGGTTGGGATGATTATTATTATTTTTTTTTTAACCAGAGAGCCTTACTTTTGTTAGAATGGGGACAAGATTATATTCTGAGGTGGCAGTTGGAGATGGGGCCCTTGAGGTAAAAGAACATTTGCAAAAGAGACTGAAGAACTGGAGGAATTGCTGGCCAGAGACTGGCTAAAAGCAAGAGTGGAATAGTTTGTTCATGAGGTTTACATTTTTAAACACTGAAATTAATGGTAGGCATCCTCTCATGTCCTGAATAATAATTTCTTCATCTTATTCATCATCCTAGCACACAATTTTTTTCTATCAAAGTAAATTTTGAATTTAGACATTTTTCATATAAACTTTTTTCTTTTAAACAAAGGTTTGGGATGTAAATATATTTATCAAAAGAATGGTGATCCTTTGCACATAAGTGAACTCCTGCAAAATTTCAAGAAGGATGCAAGAAGTTTTAAATTGAGGGCTGGAAAGCATCAGCTTGAAGATGTGACGGGTGTGCTGAAAAGATTTCTCTCTGACATCGACGATGCACTTCTCACTAAGGAGCTCTACCCGTACTGGGTCTCTGCCTTAGGTAATGTGTAGAGAATAGGACAGAATCGGCATCCGCTTTCTGACTTGATAGTTACATTGTTAAATCTTCGATAATTGGAAAATTATCATTACTTTTGTTTTTCCTCTGTCATTTACTCTACATTGTTAGAATACACAGCTGTATGTTTCACTCTGTCTTCCTTGTCCCTAGATTCCATCTAATGAAGAGAACTTGAGAGATGACCCTAGAAAAGTAGTTAGTAAATCATTCTTTGGGTCATATTAAATATATGAAAACCTAGTTTATCTACAGTCATTTGAAATAGTTTATATTGTAATATTAAAGCATTATAGTAATACATACTTTAAAATGTAAACACTGCCATTAATCTCTTAAAGCTGTTTTCATTTTTCTGTATTTTAGTCTTTGTGATTTATGTATATACTGCATTTTTATTTTTCTTAGGAATCTATAAACATTTCCTACATAGTCACATTTTTATATAATTTTTAATCTTTAGTTGTCAAAATTGATCTTTGATTTTTTATCATAATTAAATTGTTTTTATAATTTAATTTATTTCAAGATTGTTTTAAAAAATGGTTTTTGACTTGGGCTCTATAGTATTCCTTTGTGGAAAAATGTTTTTTTCACTGAAAGCATTTGTTCATTTAAAAATATTGTTAGTATATTTGAAAGTATTAAATTTGAAATCTTATCACAGAATAGATACAACTTGAAAATTATTCCTATATTGACCTTCATTAGTATCGGTACTAAAAGAGTAGTAAAGTTATTAAAATAAAACTTTTCATAGTTTAACTCGGAAGAACATCTTTTTTTACCTTCTTCCAAATATTTTTCAAATCACTAAGGTTCATTGTGATCCCTATATTTGACTGAATAATTTACTGGAATGTACGATGCGTAATTAGATAAATAGCTCTTCAGATTCAATTCGCTTGCAATACTCATTTTTACTTTTCAATCATTTGTTTTAATTTATATCTATAAAGTTATTTGTTGTATCTCTTTCATGATGGCTTATATTTTGTGACTTTTATAAGATCACTTATCCATAATATAAAACAAATAAGGTTTTGCTAAATTTCTCAAATGACAAAGAAGTTCTTACTGTTTTCGGTCTCCATGAAGAGGTAGCCAGCTGGCAGTTGGTAGGCATGTGTCAGAAAAGAGTGTGTTCACCTTCCACTTTGCACTGAATTCTTTGAGAATGTACTTAGAGAAGGCTTTGAATACTAGGCTGGACAATCTGTGTGTCTTTTGCCTTTGTATCCAATATACCCGAGCCAGACACTTTAGAAATGCCTGCTGTTGGCTCAGACAGGGATGAACAATGACTCTTCAGTGACCTTACTGAAGAACTCTCTTGTGTCCTGTGCACCTGATCCAAAGAATACCATATAATAGCAAACCCCACAATTTTTTTGTACACAATATGCTCTTTTAGAAACGCTTAAACTATCTCAATTCCGGGCCAGTTAAATTGTTCATTTTCTATATTACTCAAAACATCTCCTGAGTTTTGTTTTCCAATTGCTTGTCTTTCTTTTGAAAATACCTATAATATTCTTGTAAAAGACCAAAAAAATCTTATACTAGTGTGACTTCTCATTTTCAGTATTAATTTTATTAACAGTATGAATTTTATTGAATAAAATGTAATTATTTGTACAACAATAAACTGAAGTACATGAAGGCAAATGTTTGGATTATACTAGGAATAATAAATAATCCTTTCATTCTTTTGAATGTAATTCAAATATTTTCCCTTAATTGCTGTTATGGAATCATCTATGGCAGCACTTAAGTTGGTGACTCTTTACTCTTGTAGATCTCATGTGCAGGCTAAATCAGTATCAGAGATATCACTTAAAGTTTGAAAAGGAGTGTACTTGAAAATTGTGTCACAAAGTGTATTGCATCCCTGGGATCCCAATGTCCTTTAAAGGTGTCTGAAAACTTTTAAAGAATCTTTAATGTATTATTGGCTCTTTGTGCTTAGAATAGGTAGCATTAAGCAGGAAATGAAAAACTTCAGCTTCCAAAGTCCTTGAGAATTGAAAGGAATGTTTGAGTTTTGAGTTGCAAAGTCAGCACAAACTATTTCTTGGAACAACATATTTACTTCTTATGTCAGTTGTAGGACTGAGCAACCACCATATCCTGTAGAGTCTAGGACTTTGAGAGGTTCCTATCTGTAGTTTTTCTGTAGATTTACTTGCTGGGATTAGAAAGGCGAAGGGAAATTCCTTCTCATCTTCTTCTTCAGGGACTCATTAATTTCTATCCACAATAAAGGCAGAAGGTCCACCACCTTCTGAATCTGGATCATAGTGTTAAGGCCTGTATGTGACTTCTTCCATTGTCCCTGTTTCAAAGATTTGAAGATAGCAAGGATGCTGAAAGCCTCTTTACATGGATCAGAGGGTAACACATTTCTTAGATCTGGTACAGTTCATTGCTTTGGAAAGATTTTCATCATTTCATAAATAAAAATGATCAGAAATGTCATTTTCAAATACAAATAATAAAACTTCTTGATAGGCAGAGTTAAAATGCTTTTGTCTTAGCTTTTCAGTTTGTACTTCAATTTGAGCAATTGAATGTATTCTTAGTATGTTAAAGTTTCATAGTGGATAAAGTGGAAGATAAAAAATAAATTCTCTTACTATCCCAGTTTCAAAGTGTTTAATTTTTAAATTATAAGAACTACAGGATGTAGCCATGGAATATTTATGGAATATTTATGTAAATGAAAGCTTTTCCAGAATTATAGGCAATTACTTTATATTTTTCTACTGCAACCCTATTTTAATCATTTATTGTAATACACTTGTAGCGATCATTTTAAAATACTTTTGAAAAGCATATTTATTATAAAAAGAATTAGTTTAAATCTAAAGATTTGTTTTTCCTCCAGATACACAAGATGACAAAGAAAGAATTAAAAAGTATGGAGCATTTATACGTACCCTTCCAGGGGTCAACCGAGCAACCCTTGCAGCTATAATTGAACACCTTTACAGGTGGGTGGGTTCCTGAACTTTTCCAAGCATTTCAAACATGGCATTTAATAAGTCATTATTTCATCTTAAAGTTGTGTAGCAACCTTCTACGTGTGACTGTGACTCTTTCACCGTACACTAAGACTTACTGCTTTAGTCTTCTGCAATCAAAATCACAGTTAAATAGTACTGGAGAATTTCTTAAGTGAATCAGTAGTAATCATATGTAAAATTCCCAAATGCATGCAGTGTTTAAGCAAAAATTTTAAAACTCATTTGGATAGCAGAGAAGGAACAGATTATTTTTCATTGCATTATACAAATATAGAGTCTAGTCTATATCTGTCTATGCAGTGTCTGTCTGTGCAGATTTTAATATAGAGAATTTTAAAGCATATACTATGGAATTATACAGTGAAAGTGATTCTTTTTTTTTCAGCTTTAATTGAGTTTATTGGTACATTTTAGGGATACAGTACAGTTACATTCATTGTTGGGATCTTGTACCTCCACATGACAAGTTTTGATTCTCATTTTTCCCCTTAGCTCTGCCCTCCCTTCACCCCCTCCTCCCCTCCCCATCTACAAACACTTTATTTTCATCTTTTCATTCTCTCACATTTTTTTCTTTTCCCTTTTTACTCTTCCCCTACCCATCCCACCTTCCCTACCCCTTTAGCTCCTTTCCTCCCATTTCTAAATGTCAGTAATCTTATTAGAATCTAATGCATTGTTGCAGATTATTTACACCAGGGAAACTATTCGGTATTTACACATGTGTGACTTATTTATTTCACTTAGGAGTATATCTTCAATATGTATGCATTTTCCTATGAATGAATCTATTTTCTCGTTCTTTATGGCTGAGTAATATTCCATTTTATAGAAAAACCACAACTTCTTTATCCAGTTTCCAACAGATGGGCAAATAGGCTGTTTCCAAGATTTAGTTATTACAAACTGTGCCACTATAAACATGGGTGCACATACTTCTCTGTGATATGATTCTTTTAGTTCTCTTGGAAAGCTACCCAGCAGAGGGATGGCTGGGTCAAATGGAACCTCCAGTCCAAGCTCTTGGAGGTATCTCCATATTGATTTCCATAGTGGATGCACTAGTCTGCACTCCCATCAACAATGGAGAAGGATTTCTTTCTCCCCACAACCCCGCCAACATATGTTATTGTGTGATTTCTTGATAGCAGCCATTCTTTGTGGGGTGAGGTGGAATCTCAGTGTTGTTTTCATCTGCATCTCTCGAATGACCAGTGATGTGGAACATTTTTTCAAATATTTACTTGCTGCTTTTACTTCTTTGTCTGAGAAATGTCTGTTCATTTCAGATGCCCATTTTTGAATCAGGTCTTTATATTTGGGACTGATTGTTTTGAGTTCTTTATATATCCTTGATAATAGTCCTTTGTCTGAGGAACAGCTGGTAAAAATTTTTTCCCACATTGTAGATTGTCTCTTAGTTCTGCTGATGGTTTCTTTTGAAGTACAGAAGCTTTTTAGTAAGATGAGATCCCAGTTGTTGATTCTATCTGCTAGTTCCCGTGCTACTGAGGATTTGTTCATAAAGTCTTTTCCTATACCAATGTCTTCCAGAGTTCTGCCTAACTTACCTTCCAGCAAGTTTAATGTTTCTGTTTTAATATTTAGATCTTTAATCCATTTGGATTTTAATTTAGTGCATGGCAAAAGATAAGGGTCTAATTTTAATCTGTGGCAGGTT